CCTCACGGTGGTGGTAACCATCAACACATTGGTAAAGCGTCCACAGTTAAACGTGGAACTAGCGCTGGTCGTAAGATCGGTCTTATTGCTGCTCGTCGTACAGGAAGAATCCGTGGTGGAAAGACCGATACTAAGAAGGACGATTAGATTAAACATTGACTAAATCTTGGAACTTGTACAATAAAAAGTTTGAAAAAAAAGTTTATATTGTCATAATATTATTTACATTATTGTTTGATTCGTACGTCATTGAACAATTTATTTCCAAAAATATTAAATAGTAATTTCATAGTTTTATTTTTCTAGTACATTTGATAGTTGGATTTTAATTTGGCGTAACAATGGTGTGAAATTTGGATATAGTCGATATGTTGGTCACGGGTACCAACCGATACTAAATTAAAAAAGTAATACAATGTGATCGCAGATTCTATCCCAGTATCATGTGTAGGGCATAAATTTTGTTTCAAACAACTTTGATACGCGAGAGTAATAGGAATGTCAAACAGTCGGAAAATTGTCCAGCGAAGTATGCCCGTTTAGTTTTCTCGATATCCGGCGGATATAAATCGTCAGCCATCTTGCTAGCAATATTTCGGCGCTCGGCCATTTTTGTTGCGTCGACGTCAAGTGTGGCCAGAGGCCTTTCATCGTAGCCAGTCTTCGAATTTCCTTTGTATTGAAGAATCGACAGACAGAAACTGTAATTCTAACTACGTGACTTAATCGGCAAGTCTCGTTTGTAGCTGAACAAGAAACGCGAAAGGAGAGAGGAGAAAAGAACGAACAATTGAAATTTTCTGCTGATTGTCCAGGCGAGAAATAGCTAAAGAGCTTCTGCGGCAGAGCCACGAAAAATACGCACCGAGGCGGAGTAATATGAGTAATGCAGCCAACCAGAATGGATCAGGTCTAGAGCAGCAGGTAAAAAAGGATTAGAAAGTTTATTATATCTCTGACAGTCTTTATTCCTATCTATCATTCTTTCTTAATTCCTTCTCCATTCGAATCTCTTCCTGTTTGATGCTTGTTTCAAAAATTTTTCTTTTTGTAGTCGCGCGTGGACGTTCATAAGTACTATTTTATAACCTACATTCGCGTGAATCAATTGTTCTTACATCTTGCCTGCATTAAACATTTTGTAGACTTGAATCATCGTCGGGTTGATTGTGACGTACGCTTTGTAATGGCGGCAACCAATTCCGAGAACAGCAAACCTCGTGCCGTGACGCATTCTCATATTGCTTTTTTGTGTATAAATTCTATATGATTAGATGGAATAGATATAATGCACAATTATGTAAAAAATCGATTTGTTTAAAGGATAGGAAACAACTTTCTCGCTGCTTAAATTTGTCATAGACGTGATGTGAATTTCATTATTTGACTATTATTAAATGACCACTATTTAATTTATTGAACAAAAAGTAGTTATCTTAAAAATAAGATTAAGTGTGTCATTTAATCAAGAAGATACATGCATTTTACTGTCAAATTTCTTTCTGGTATGATAATTTCAATATTTTCTCACGTGTACAATATTGGTATATATCTTGTTCTAAATAAATGTCATTGGTTTTTTTTTTAATTTTAATAACTCTTAATTTATTAATTGGATGATGTTTAATTTCGTCTTTAATTCTTTCTATTAACGTGTATATAGATTGAAATGTAATAATTGTAACAGAATATTTAGTAATTTGTTTCTTGCTGTTATTAAATAGAAATATATATAAGAAATATCATTAATCTATCACTCAAAGAATAAATTTTACTAAACATAGTCCATGTAATCTAATGTATTTCATTAAATGTTATATTTATTTTTCTTTATATAGTATTTTTGTAAATATATAAATTGACTTCATTACAGAGTGCTATATTATTTTTAGACTTCTTTTTACTATATAGATTTGTTTTAAGAAGGTGATATTCCTTTTATAATATTGCCATTATCAATATTGGCAATACATAATAAATAACATTTGTTAGTCGTGATAAAATACATTAATTTTATATATTAATCTAAAGATTAATTTGTCACATTATATATCATAATAATTAATTATATTTATCTTTTATATGTTAAAAGTGTTCTAATTACTATTTTTTATGTTCGACAATGTGTTTATATTTTGTATTATGTAATACAATATTCCTTAGTACATATGATATTAAATTTATTACTAACAGCATTTACATCTTTTCTACTTTTGGTTTAACAACCTTTCCATGTATATATTATATGTTATGATATTGAAATAATTTCTTAATAAAATACTTGTGTATGTTATAGTTTCAAAATTTCAAATTCATTGTTCATTTGTTCTAAATTATATATTATAAATAAGAAATATCTTAAAATGTTCATTTTTTTTTTATTTCAGTTAGCTGGTCTGGACTTGCAGGGCTCCCGCCAACCAAGTGGGGGTCGCTACGTACCACCGCATTTGCGAAATAAATCTGGAAGTAAGTATTAAATACATATTGTTATTATATTATTTATAGTTATTATATTATCTCTGTTATTTCTGTTATTATTTTATAAATAATTTCAACTTTTAAATTGATTAAATTAAATGTTCTTGTAGATATTTTTAGTTCATATGTTTATATGTTTACTGTTTCTATTAATTTACTTATATATAAATTAAACAATTATCTTAAACACGTAAATATAATATCAAATATTTAATAAATATCTAAAAATCAATATAAAGAAAATGTTACTACTGAAAAAGATTTATGAGTCAGTAGAGCTTTTTTTTGGTACTATCAAGATATAAAAACTATCTATTTATATTTACATATTTAGAGAACAATAAAAAGAAACCAACATTAATTTGTTTACAGGTAACGCGCCTTCTGGCGGGGATCATCATTTTTCTTCCAACTCGAGACCATATTCTGACAGAGATAGAGATAGAGGTAGAGATCGTGATCGTGAAAGGGAAAGAGAAAGGGATCGTGATAGGGGAAGAGGTGGTTCAGGCTATAGAGATACACGCTCTCGAGATGTTGACTTCGGGAATTTCGGGAATTTTGGTGGACGCAATAGACGTAGTGCCAATCAAGAAAATGGAAGAGATTATAGATTTTCCAATTCCGATCGTGACCGAGATCGAGATCGCCCGATTAATTCCGGAAACGATCGTTGGCAAGATCAACCTAGAAACGATCGTTGGCAAGATCAACCTAGAAATGATCACAGAATGGGTGGTAGATGGAAGGACGACAGAGACGGAGGCAGAACAAATTCTGAAATTGACTGGACAATTCCCACTTCCAGAGACGAGCGATTGGAGGTGGAGTTATTTGGCAATGGCAATACTGGTATTAACTTTAGTAAATATGAGGATATCCCAGTTGAGGCTACTGGCGACAACATACCTCCCCACATCACATCTGTAAGTTTTAATTAATAAAATTATAATTTGTAATTATTAATTGACTATATCTTACAATCTTATTTTTATCTTTACAGTTTGACGAAGTTAAGCTGACGGAGATAATAAAGAATAGCATTACTTTAGCTGGTTATGATAAACCTACGCCAGTACAGAAATATGCGATACCGATTATTATCGGACGCCGTGATGTTATGGCCTGTGCCCAAACAGGGTCTGGTAAAACAGCGGCCTTTTTAGTGCCAATATTAAATCAGATTTATGAAAGCGGGCCACGTCCACCACCAGCCAATATTTCTGGAAAGCGTAAACATTTCCCTCTTGGTCTAGTATTAGCACCTACAAGAGAACTTGCCACACAAATATATGATGAGGCGCGGAAATTCGCATATAGATCTCGTATGCGTCCTGCTGTTG